CAGACTTTTTGATCTAGAATGTTTACAAATAAATATAATTTAAAAGCAGATGTTTACTTTCACCATAGACAAAATTTGTCTATGCTTTCACCAACTGTTTTGTACGTTTGAATAACTACAACATTCTGTATTAGCATTAGTCATGATTTGAAATAGTGCCCCAGTGTTTCTACAGATTGCAGCACAGAAAACTATTTTACTTTTGAATAAGTCCAAATGTATTAAACCCCAATCGCAGCACACCTGTGCACTTAACAACGTTTAAATTCTCCAATATTAAATATTAAAACATAAAAACCTTTATAAAAGTACTGTATTATAAACAATAAAAGGGATTTTTAAATGTATGACAACAGCTAATTTGCAACCAAAAGGTGAGTGAGCGTAGCGAACGAACATCAACCTGGAGGCGAGTAAGCGTAGCGAACGAGCTAACCTGAAAACAAGTGAGCGCAGCGAACGATTTCCAACCTGAAGGTGAGTGAGCGTAGCGAACGAACTTCAACCAGGACGTGATTGAGCCATGGGAATACTTATGAAGTTAAGCGGGGCAAAGCCCGCGGGTACAGCTAGTATATATATGAATTTGAACTGAAGGTGTTTTTGGTCTCTAGGGACCTCAAAACGAAAAAGTAAATCGGTCCCGGGACCAGGTCTTACCATGAGTATTACGGTAATAGCTTATTCCCTATAGGGAAAATTCGGTAAAATGTAAATTTTATTTGCACATTGTGTGCTAACACATATTAGAGTCACACAGCTGAGTGTTCTTCAATCATTAAAATGTACGTATAATCAGTAGTCGAGCGCTGGCGAACGGTGCCTGGTATCTGACTGTGGCAACCACTAAAGAGACTTCTGGCCCAGACTGTACCGTTGGAGGTTATGAAATTTGGACATTATGAACCGCTCTGTTTATTTCGTATCTAAACGTTGGAGTTTGTGAAACTTGGACATTGTGAAACAGTGATTATTTGAATGTTATAGATTTGGAGCTCATGAAATTTGGAGGTTATGAACCGCTCTGTTTATTTAATATCTAAACGTTGGAGTTTGTGAAACTTGGACATTGTGAAACAGTGATTATTTGAATGTTATAGTTTTGGAGCTTATGAAATTTGGACATTATGAAACGCGCTGTTCATTTAATATTTTAAGCGTTGGAGTTTGTGAAATTTGGAGTTTATGAAACGCTCCCAAAAGCTTCACATTGCGGGATTGCATGTATATTTTTTTAAACATTTCTTGAACCTTGAAATACACTGGGAAGCTTGTACACATTAAGTTAGGTCATTTTAATTTTGTATGTCTCAAAATAGCTTTCAAATCGCTCATTCAAGCAAAAGATTTTCTAATTGCCCCCCCCCCCCCTTGTGATAACCAAAGCTCTACAGTAGTATATAAGTAGGGGAGAGTGTTGTACCTTTGACCAGTTTTCACTTAAAAATTTGTTGTAGGGACAGGAAAGCTCCAATTATTTTAAAAACAATCAACGATGATACTTAACTGTTTTATCCATGGATTAAATAGTTTTTCCAGTTCCTTGTCATAAGTTTTAACCTATTTTTAGTAATAAAGAAAATTTATTACATGGTGGTCAAAGGTTCAACATCCAGTTGTACCTTTGACCAGTGGGTGTTGTACCTTTGACCAGCATACCGATTTCAGCCCAAAACAGGTAGAAAAAAACAAATATATATCTTACATGATAGTTTTTAAATTATAAGACCAGATACCCAAAGTTGAACTTATTATTCATTTCATCAAGATAAAAAAAAATGGCTTTTTTCTACTTTTTATGATAAAAAGTCCACTGCAAAATTGAAAAATTCTCTTTGACGTGCTTATCCACTTGATTTGGCAGTGTTGGGGAGCTTGGTGACAACCTCCTGTAGGTTCCACAAATCAATGGCTTATTAATACATTAACATATTTCAATAAAAACCAGTAATAACTACACTGAATACAGATGATGTTGTACCTTTGAACTGGTCAAAGGAACACCACTATTAAGTGGTCAAGGGTACAACACTAGCGCTTCCCGCCATTATATACAGGGTGTCCGGTCATAAGTGTTAAATAAAATTTTGCATTAAACTACATGGTAATGGTGACAGAATGTCGCAAATTTGAGGTTCCCAACTTCTACAGTTAGAGAATAACAAATAAATTAAGATTTTTTTTAAATTATTGTAGTTGTTATGAAAAAGGTTATTTTACTCTGTTAACAAATGCACTTACTGTCAATTTCAATGTAATTTTCAGAATCCTCACAAAATTTTAAATAGATATAACACATAATCGTTGGGGTACGGAAAAATATTCTATTTAAAATTCTTCGTTAAACAATTTATTTTTATATCAACGAAAATGTAAATAACATTCAGCAATCTATAACTCGGTTGTTGAATTCGGCTGGGTTTATCAAATACGACTAAAAACTTCCTTATTTAAAGGGCTTTACAATGGTGTATAATAGTTTTTACCGTATTTCAAATTTCCTACTGTAATTCTATCATTATTATAAAAAAAAAAAAAAAATGGTAAGGCAAAGAAAATCTATTGTGAAGAATAATACATTTAGGTGCAGGCAACAAATAATTTGTATTTTTTTCTCGCATGCAACGCTTTGTTATAACTACCAAGCTAAGAAAAGAAACATAGTAGTAAAATGTGTTTGTGATAAAGTTACGGTTATCGTATATTTTTCATATAAGATTTAAATTATCTCCCGGAATTTATATTTTGTGGAATGGACTTAGTCAATAGATTCAGGTATTTTACTGATAACAATACTTTATCTAAGCGATAAGAAAACAAAGCGTACCAGTAGTCATATTTTAAAAAGATCTATCAGTCACATGTGGACAGTGATCGGTCAACTATGTCTTTTTCGATTCGGGAGTATGTTGAAATGCATTTTGTTTATGGTTTGTGTAAACGGTAATGCGTCGGCTGCTCAGAGAGAGTACCAGAATCGGTATCCTGATCGCACCACCCCCAGTACTCAGGTGTTTACTAGAGTGCATCAACGTTTGCTGGAAACAGGATCGGTTGAGACGAAGAAGAAAGAAGTAGGACCTGTGCATGATGTTGCAGCTGAAGAGGGTGTAATTCAGAGAGTTATGGATAATCCTACTACTAGTGTTAGGCAGCTTGCCCTTGAAACTAGTATGTCCCGGTGGAAAGTACATAAAGTGTTATAGGACAATAACTTCCATCCGTATCATTTCGCAAAGGTCCAAGGATTGGAGACTCGTGACTTTGAATCCAGAAAGGAGTTCTGCCGCTGGCTTCTTCAACGTGATATTGTTGAACATCACTTCCTTAAAAAAATACTATGGACTGGCGAATCCCGTTTTATCAGAGAAGGTGTGATAAATATTCACAACATGCATCTTTGAAATAATGAAAATCCAAAAGCCTCCAGAGAAGCTTCTTTTCAAAAAAGGTTTGGGATCAACGTGTGGGCAGGTGTGATTGGAGATCAGTTAATTGGTCCTCATATTATCTTCGAAGGAAATCTGAACGGTGATTTATATCTAGATTTTCTTCAGCACTCTCTACCTCAGTTGTTGGACGAAATTGATCCTCGACAAAGAGCTGAAATCATATTTCAGCAGGATGGTGCTCCACCACATTTTACTGAAAGCGTTCGGTTGTGGCTATCCCAAAACTACCCGACATGGATTGGACGTGGAGGAAGTGTGACATGGCCTCCTCGATTTCCAGACTTGAGCCCGTTAGATTTATTGTTCGGGGTTACATGAAAAGTCTAGTTTACTCAACTGTTGTAAACTCTGAAGTTGAGTTACGTTTAAAAAAAACAACTATTTAGTTTGATGGAAGTGTAGTCTGGTCAATCATAAATTATAGAAACCCTCGTCATCAGTGGTCAGCTCATAAAATAGTAGGTAAAATTGTTTTATCTTTTACAATATCTGTTTTGGCTTGACCGTGATTTTTCACAATAGTGTGTAAAATTCACAATGGATTTGACAGTAGGTAAATGTTGTTATACATAATTGTAAAGCCCTTTAAATACGGAAGTTTTTAGTCATATTTGATAACCTCGCCGGAACTCGGCAACCGAGAAATAAATTACTGAATGTTATTTAAATTTTCGTCGATATAAAAATAAATTGTTTACCGAAGAATTTTAAATAGTGTTTACATGTGTGTGTACATTTTTAAATGTGTTATATCTATTTAAAATTTTGTAAGGATTTTGAAAATTACATTGAAATTGACAGTAAGTGCATTTTTAACAGAGTAAAATAACCTTTTTCATAACAACTACAATAATTTAAAAAAAATCTTAATTTATTTGTTATTCTCTAACTGTTGAAGTTGGGAACCTCAAATTTGCGACATTCTGTCACCATTACCATGTAGTTTAATGCAAAATTTTATTTAACACTTATGACCAGGCACCCTGTATATATATTCTCAAAAGATATGTGATAATATCAGTTTCAAACATCCAAGTTAGAGGATAAACATAAAATAATAACCCCTCACTTTCACTTCTATTTGTAGAAATATATACATTTTATAAAACAAACAATAAGTCAACAAATTTTTACTTTTCAGTAGCAAAAATGATTAAACTAAAATATCTTCCAACAAACACAGTTTTCAATCTCCAATGCAAGGTGAAGTAGTCCTCTGGTGGCTGATCTATGAACTAGTTTTATTAGCTTCCATATACAGCCTCTAGATTTCACTATATGACCGGTGGTAAAAGGTACAAGATGGTCAAAGGTACAAAACTCTCCCCTACGCAATATAGTTTGCTGAATACGTTCCACGCACAGGCAAAGTTAAAAGAAGCCGCCAACTTCATAAAAGAAATTTAATAAATCTTATCAATTTTGGTAAAGCAATTTTATATTTTAAACAATACTTATTTTAACTTATATATAAAAAAAAGCAGACTACGTAGATGGATACTAATGAAACTAGTTTAAATTTAACATTCATTTGATAAATATACTTACGTTTGATCTGGCCAAAGTGAGAATTGTGTGTTGCTCGTAATGCCAGTTTGTAGCCCAACTGACGGCATGTTACATTGGCTTCTCTCTCATCCCACTCATCATCACAAACGGCTCCCCACCGTCCCATGTGGAATATCTCCACATTACCTGCAACATTAGTATTAGTTACAATTCCAGTTTGTGGACCAGCTGACGGCATGTTACATTGGCTTCTCTCCCATCCTACTCATCATCACATACGGCTCCCCACCGTCCCATGTGGAATATCTCCACATTACCTGCAACATTAGTATTAGTTACAATTACAGTTTGTAACCCAGCTGACGGCATGTTACATTGGCTTCTCTCTCATCCCACTCATCATCACAAACGGCTCCCCACCGTCCCATGTGGAATATCTCCACATTACCTGCAACATTAGTATTAGTTACAATTCCAGTTTGTGGACCAGCTGACGGCATGTTACATTGGCTTCTCTCCCATCCTACTCATCATCACATACGGCTCCCCACCGTCCCATGTGGAATATCTCCACATTACCTGCAACATTAGTATTAGTTACAATTACAGTTTGTAGCCCAACTGACGGCATGTTACATTGGCTTCTCTCTCATCCCACTCATCATCACAAACGGCTCCCCACCGTCCCATGTGGAATATCTCCACATTACCTGCAACATTAGTATTAGTTACAATTACAGTTTGTAGACCAGCTGACGGCATGTTACATTGGCTTCTCTCTCATCCCACTCATCATCACAAACGACTCCCCACCGTCCCATGTGGAATATCTCCACATTACCTGCAACATTAGTATTAGTTACAATTACAGTTTGTAGACCAGCTGACGGCATGTTACATTGGCTTCTCTCTCATCCCACTCATCATCACAAACGACTCCCCACCGTCCCATGTGGAATATCTCCACATTACCTGCAACATTAGTATTAGTTACAATTACAGTTTGTAGACCAGCTGACGGCATGTTACATTGGCTTCTCTCTCATCCCACTCATCATCACAAACGGCTCCCCACCGTCCCATGTGGAATATCTCCACATTACCTGCAACATTAGTATTAGTTACAATTACAGTTTGTAGACCAGCTGACGGCATGTTACATTGGCTTCTCTCCCATCCTACTCATCATCACATACGGCTCCCCACTATCCCATGTGGAATATCTCCACATTACCTGCAACATTAGTATTAGTTACAATTCCAGTTTGTAGACCAGCTGATGGCATGTTACATTGGCTTCTCACCCATCCTACTCATCATCACATACGGCTCCCCACTGTCCCATGTAGAATGTCTCCACATTACCTGCAACATTAGTATTAGTTACAATTCCAGTTTGTAGACCAGCTGACGGCATGTTACATTGGCTTCTCACCCATCCTACTCATCATCACATACGGCTCCCCACTGTCCCATGTGGAATGTCTCCACATTACCTGCAACATTAGTATTAGTTACAATTCCAGTTTGTAGACCAGCTGACGGCATGTTACATTGGCTTCTCTCTTATCTTACTCATCATCACATACGGCTCCCCACCGTCCCATGTGGAATATCTCCACATTTTTTTTAAGGAGAGAAAATGCTTTTACGCACACAGGTAGCCAGCCTGTAGTGTGAGACTCCTGAATCTATCACAGACCACTCACTAAAAACCCCCTCTACTCTGTTGGACACAGACATGGAATTGTTTGTCACATTACTTCAAGTCAGGCTAACATTGTGACCTAAGCCCTCAGGGCTCTCACCGTTTTTGGCATTTAGATACTTTATTACCTACACCACATCCCAGTCAAGGTCGAGCTTTTTGGCGAGGAGAATACCCTGTATGTAATGTGACACAGAGGTCCAATTGTGCTCACCCTCCGTATGACCGTGTCCACTGACAGCAGTCCTACTAACTGTTGAGCCTCCAGGCGGGGCCTTTCCCAATGCTGGCAGTTGAAAAATGTATGTTCCACGTCGTCGGGAATGCCTGGGCAGTATATGCAATTGGGTGACACGGCTTTGCACATCCTGAACAGGTACGACCGGATAAAGCCATGACCCGTCAGAAATTGGGTGAGGTAGAAGTCCACCTCCCCGCACCGCCGATTAACCCAAGGTTGGACTTGCTGTATCAGTCGCCTGGTCCAGCGTCCCCGAGTCTCCTGTTCCCAGCTCTTCTGCCACAGCTGGTAGGTGCGGGTGCGTTCCTGTGTTCGTGCCTGGTCCTCCCTACGGCGCTGATAAATTGACTTTCTCTCCACCACCAAAAGTTTGACGGGGATGACTCCAGAAACCACCAGGACAGCGGGTTCGGACACTGTTCGGTAGGCGGATGCAACTCTTAGTGCTGCCTGACGCTGCACTCGGGCGAGCCGCATCCTATATACCTCCTTATTGAGAGCATCTGCCCACACCTCAGCACCGTACAAGAGTACGGACTGGACAGAAGACATTAACAGCCTTCTACGGCTGGACCGAGGACCTCCGACATTGGCCATCAACCGGCTAAGAGAGGAAACCACCCTAGCGGCCTTGTCCACGGCACGGAAAATCTGACCCCGCCAGCCAAGCTTGCTGTCCACCATAACCCCAAGGTACTTGGGAGAACGAACGGTCTGAACTTCGACGGCCGCTACCCTCAACGGCACGATGTTGTCAATCCGTTTTTTTAATATCACTATCTCAGTTTTGCTCAAAGTAAGCGAGAGACCGTGGTCTGTCATCCATGCGTTTATAATACGCATAACTCGGTTCAGCTTTAGCTGAGCCAGCTCAACGCTACGTGCAGCTATCAAAACTGCAACGTCGTCTGCGTACCCAACCAAAACAGTTTCCTCAGGCATTTTAGACCTCAGGAGGCTGTCATACGTGACATTCCAGAGGTCTGGGCCGAGTATGGAACCTTGGGCAGCACAGGAAGTGACACTCATCGTCCGTGGGCCCTCTGTAGTTTCAAACATGAGGAGGCGGAACCGGAGATAATCCTCTATGATACGCATGAGGTATGCCGGAACGTGGAAGTTGTTCTCCAGAGCATCCAGCATATAGCACCACCTCGCGGAATTAAATGCGTTTCGCACATCGAGAGTTACGAGCAGCACAACCCTCGTGGTTAAAATCCTCAGCTCTCATCACGGCTTGCTTCACCTCATCAACAGCGTCAACCGTAGATTGCCCCATCCTGAATCCATGTAGCCGGGGGGACAGGTCCCCCGCAGCGACCACGGCTGAATTCAGTCGGGAACGGATCAACTTCTCGAGGACTTTGCCAGCCGTATCCAACATATACAGAGGTCTGTAAGAGGATGGCAGGTCTGGGTCTCCCTTCCCCTTCCCAACAAGCACAAGCCTAGCTGTTTTCCAGCACGAGGGGAAAACTCCTTCGAATAGGCAGGCGTTGTACATGCGCAAAGGGATCAAGGGGTTAATAGTCAAAACCTTCTTGAGGACTTCGCCAGGTACCCCATCGGGTCCAGGAGCCTTTTTGTTCTTCAGGGATAGGACGGCCACCTCCATCTCTCCAAGTCTGAAAAGTGGTACATCATCCACCCTTTCGAAATCCCGCAGTGGGCGCAACGTGTGAGCCAGAAAAAGGGACTCGACTATCCTCTCCATAGTGGCCCCATCCATGACGGAAGGTGGAGAGCGGGTGCCAAGTTTCTTGGTTACAAGTTTGTAGCCCAGGCCCCACAGATTGGAATCGACATCGTCCCTTAATGTCTCCCAGCAACTGCATTTACTCCGGTTCAAGGGCGCCGGCAGAGAGGGGCAGGGGGGGGCCTTGGCCCCCCCCTGGATCATGGAAGATTTTTTTTATATTGGCAAATCCAACACTGTTGCAAATGTAGGCGAATACAGCATTTGTGTTATTGGCTAAAATGTTTGGCAACACTGAACTGATCCTATCCCGCTCACCCCTACTCCCACACTACAAGCGATTTCCTCCCCCTTCCCTCCCCCTTTCAACCCCCTTCCCTCCCCCTTTCCTCCCCAACACCTGTAACACGTGATTCCTAGGTCGTAAACTATTCACCTATTGTCTCAGAATTCGTGCGTGTCACTTGACGAGACAGCTTTCTGCGTTACACAGTGTTAAGATTTTTGGAGGTAACGGAGTGTTGAAAGTTTGTGTTGTGTTCACAAGTTGTGTTGGCTTATGGTTATTGTTATTATGTAATCAATTTCGCGGACTTGTAGATAAAACAGTGGGAGAAACTCAGTGATTTGATCAAATAGAGGTAAGTGATTTTAAATCTTTTCCTCATTGAAATGTTAATAACTTTATGCCTGTATTTTGGATGTGATTAAATTACAAATGGAAAATAAATATCACACCATACACTTTAGACTTTTTTATCTACATATGAACTGAATTGGTTTTCTAAGGACATAAAAAATGTAATCGGCCGTGGTTCGGTTCAAGGTGTTGAACCACTTCAAATAACAAAGCAATTATTCCTTATATTCATATTGGAAATTCGCTTAAAATATAAATGAGTAAACACAATGTCAATAAGTGAGAGACGTATTGAGAATTGTATTGCATCCTAATGCAGTCATACCATCACTATTCAATTTCGTTTAACTGGTACTATTTATATACCATGTTACGAGGTGTATGGTAGTTTTATTTTTATTTTAATACTCAGTTTGACAACTAGTTAACAATGATTGAAATGATAAAATATAAACATTTCAAAACACACTTCTGCTTGAAATGTTTTAGTTTACCATTCTGGACTTTAAAATGCACATAACCTACATTGTAAAACAAAACGAGCGGAGTATGAGTGTTACGGTAAACGCTTTTAGCAAGCATGGTCAGGTGACCTTGATAGAGAGAGACAGAGAAGTGTCACCCCGCCATCCCCCACGCTCAACCCCTTCCTTCTTATTCTTACTCAAACCCGAGTACAGTTGTCGCAGCTAGTCTGGGCGCGCGGCCACGCTAGGGTGCGGGGTAGGGTGGTCCAAAAAACTCAAGTTTTTTTTAGAGACCTAGGGACCCTCCCATTTTGTTACATCTAATAATAGAATAATCTATGCAAAATCTTAGTACCCTAAGACATAAGGAAGGCAGTGCTCAACAACGTTTAGGTTTTGAAAATTTCGACAAAACACTGAAATTAAGAAAAAAT